ACTCACAACCTTTATGGGACCCGTGCCTTCTTTTTGTCCCTGTCCCTTTTTTTTTATTTATTTTTTTATAGGTTTCTTAATTAGGCAGCTAGTGAGTACAGATGGACTCTCAAATAAAAGTCTGGCACCACCATGCTCTATTTTCCTATAGCTAGATTTGGAAATATCAGTCAGTGTTCCTTTCATGCTGGCAAAAATGCAAAGACAGCATTGCCAACTGTGCTTTTCCTGACCAGGCAGTTGTTTTTGATCGATGCCTTGCTTTTTGCATGTACGGAGGGAGGAAGCACTCTCAGTAGGCTTGCTTTCCTCCCGCTGTCGCTGAGCTCCCTAGCCAGCCAGTCCTCCTAGCCCAGACAGATGTATTTTTTTATTACAGAACTTCCCAGGTCGCCTACATTAAAGAGAAATGCACGGATACTGTATTAAATCAAGCAACTGTCCTCTGTCTGCTTGTTCAGGTTACACATGATACATAAATGTCCTAGAAAATGGTTTCAGTAGTGGAGTTCAGACTGTGCAACACCCCCCTTGAGCCACTGGCAGTTTTAGGAGGTTGCATTCCAAACATTAAGGCTCTTACAGTGAAAATGATGGGCACTGCACTGGAGAAAGAGCAAAAATCTCAATAAAAAGAATCTGTCATGCAAATGCATGCTCTAATGACCACAGCTTTACTACATTCACCGGCCTTGCTCTTCTCAGAAATTGTCAAGACATGGTACAGGGCGGGAACTTAAGAGTCTGAAAATAAAGTATATTTTGGTACAGTATCTATGGATAACGCTCTTAATTTTCACTTGCTCAATTTTCTCCTTGCTGGCTTCTTTTAGAGCATCCATAACTCAGGTTTACTTGACAGCACTACAGAAACAGACATAGTTGATATCTTGGGAATCAAAGACATGATGATTTTTTTTAAAAAAAGGCTGTCTAGCCTGTTTTATCCTTCCCAGCCTAATGGAGGTTTGTTTGGTACAGCACATCCTCTGATGATAATAACTTTCATCATTTATGAGCAGAAGTTTATTTTCTAGTGAACTAAAAATGTTCCTCCTAAGGAGGTTTTCCCCATTTTCTTTTGGGCCAGTTTGTACAGCCTGAGATCTCAGTTTAAATTTCCGTTGTGCTTTTTCTTCTTTTTTTTTTTTTTTTTTTTTTTTTTTATCAGCCCTGACATGCAAAGAGGTTTCCTCTGCTGAAACCCTTCAACAACTGCTCAGACCATTTACAACAAGCACTTTCATGGGCAGTAGCTCTGCAAAAGTGAGGAAAAAAATCAAAGTAACTACCTATAATAACGAGGTTAAATGCAGATTTAAGTGTTTGTGAACCGCAAGTGACTGAAAGGGTGCCAAACATTTTGCAAATATATACAAAAAGACAGGCCCCTGCTCTAATCGGCTTATAAATTAAAAGGAAAGTACATTGGCAAGAGCAGAAGAGATGATATGACATGCTTTAAATAGTTTATAGGGAGCTGGAGAATTGTTGTTTATTTGGTGATGTTGGGAAAATATTTAGTGTGCTTTGGTTAAACTCTTTATAGAAATGCTTCTCATCCTCCAGTTTTCTTTTCCAATGACTGTTTTGGAGATTAAAAACAGCAAGTTTAGAGTAGATGGAAAATGGAGAAACGTATTTCCAAATCAACAAAACCACGAGTAAATCTTTATAGATACTTTTAATGTGAGTCAGGCTTTCTAAAGTAATTATCGTAATATAAGAAAGGACCAGCGGCTTCACCACCCCTCTGGACAGCGAGCCAGGGTCGCAGCTGGTGTAAACTGAGATACCTCCTATCTGGTATGCATTGCTGGGAGGGAGGTGCGCCGCGCCCCCCCTTGCTGGTTCCCTGGCCGTCCAGGGCATCAGCGGCTCCCGGCCCCCCCCCCCCCCCCCAGCCCCTGCCCCAGCACTCGAAGGGAACCAAAGCTTTTTAGCATTTAAAGGGCTTCTATAGCAAGCCTAAAGTTTAGTAAAAAAAAAAAAAAAACAACCAAACAAACAAAAAAACCCCACAGCAGTTTATTTTTAGATTCAACTTGCCATTGATGCAGCCAGATGCAAAGTGGGGTGCAATTGCTTTTCCGAGGCCACCTGATCGGGGCAGGCTCCAGGTGCTGGTCTGGAAAGCTGAGACAGGTAAGTGAATATTTCCTTTAGTGCCGTCTTCGCAGAATCTGGAAGCTGACCCTGGCAGCTGGGAGACTTTTTTCTCCTTTCCCTGCTGTTTTATGTTGTTGGTGATATCTCCGCAGATAAGTGACTTTGCTGCATCCGGAGTTTGCATTCAAAGCGGAGACTAATTGTGAGGAACGTTTCAGAATAAACACATTTCTCTTCCAAAGTTTTTAAGGAGAAAAAAATATATAAAGGAGATTAAACGGGATAATTTGTTTTCTTTCTTGTCCTTTACAACATAATGCACTACAGTTTCGTTTCAAAATAGAGCCCTCCTTATCAGAAGGCACAACACAAAATTTCGGCCTGCAACCACAACACTGATTTGAGCAACAAATGTCCCCGAAGCCTTGCTGACATCTGATAATATGGGGGGGGGGGGGGGGGGGGGGGGGGGAATACAAAATAATGAGATGATTCAGAAACTTGTGTCCCTCTTTCGGAAGTGACCCAAAAACCAGCGGCTTCTGAAGCAGAGGTTTCAGGTCCTGGGTCAGTTTTAAGTGCTATTGCAAACTGCGGCTGAAGTGTTTGCAGCCGAACACAAATTTCCAGGCTTAAATTGCCTTCTTCCTGTCCCGGGATGCCAAGGCTTTGCACAGCTGAAATTGCACAGCCCTTTCCCCCGGATCCTCTTACTTCTTCCAGCGCTCAAAGCCCCGCTGCTCCGGGCACCCCTTTGCTGCTTTTTTGTCAGCCTCTTCCGAGGCGCGTTTTGAGCCCCTCTCCGCCTTACCGGGATGATTTCACGACAAATCCTGATTTGTGCATCCCCCGCTCACCTCTAGCAGAGCCAGAGGTACGTTTCATCCTTCCCCCGCCGTTACGACTCCGTGCACAGTGACTCCGTGCCCCGCAAACCCTGCCTGGGTAACCTGGGGCTAGGAGCGGGGCAGGGCTGGCAGCCCCCCGGGGCGATGGGCTTGAAACGTTTCGTGGGGCAGAGAGACCAGGGGAGAGGAGATTTCCACGGGAGACGGTGCTGCCCGCGGACTTCCCCGGGACCCAGGCCCGAGTGCCTCCACTTCGCGCGGGGCTCCGCCGAGCGCACCGAGCGCCGTCGTGGGAAACACCGGGGCCGCTCCCTCCGGGCCCCGACTCCGCAGTGGCTCCGCACGGGCACCGGGAGGAGCGGGGGGGCCGGGGGAGTTCTCAGCCGCGGGGAGCCCTGCCGGGACGGCGGGCTGCCCGAGCACTGGAAGCGCCCCCGGCCCGGGCTGCCCGGGGCGGCCGCCCTGCAGCGCTCGCCGCTCGCCCCCGGCCCCGGCCGGGCTCCCCGAGGGCGGCTGGCCCGTCCCCGCCGTCTGGCCCGCACCTCCGTGCGGCTCCTTGCGGCCCAGCTTCGGGCGCGATTTGTGCCTCTGTCCCGGAGCCCCGCTGCTCCCCGCAGCACCGGCACCTCCCGACCCCGGCGGTGGCCGCAGGTGGGTGCCGGCCCCCCCCGCCGCGCCGGGCCCCTCACCAGCAGATGGTGCTGCCGGCGCCCCGTCCCCGGGGCTGCGGGGCCCCGACGGACCGCACCGGGCCCGGTTCAGCCCGGCCGCCGTCAGCCCGCCGTCGCCGGGCAGCGGAACCGGGGCCCTGCGTGCTGCCAGTCCCGGGCGACGGAGGAACTGGAGCGGGCCACGGAAGCGGCGGAGGGCCCAGGTGGGCCGGAGCTCGCCGGCTGCCGGTGTGTGGGAGCCCGGGACTTGCCCGGGAACCCGCTGTTGGCGGGGGAGGCTGCCCGGTTCGGGTGGACACTCCCCGAGGTGAGCCATCGCTCCCGGGATGCTCGGCAGCTACCACCGGGCCCGGGCCCGATGCCACCAGCCTGCGCCCAGCACCGAAAACTGCGGCCGCTTGCATCTCTACAGTGCACCGAGCCTGGGCCGTCCCGCCGGCAGCGACCGCGGGCTGGCCTCGGCCCGGGGGACATCGTCGGTTCCGTCGAGCCGTGCTGCCTTTTGCACCCCCAGCGCGGACGATTTCCACAGCGGCTGCTGCTGCCGCTGCCCCTCTCCTTTCCCCGCCGCGGGTCGGACGCCGCTGGGCCCCGACGGCCCGATTCCCTGTGCCCCGGTTCCCCGCGGTGCCCGACTGGCCGTCGTGTGCCGGCCGGCCGAGCCGGTGGCTCCGGGCACGGGCGAGCCGAGCGATCCGCTCCGGGCTGCCGGTAACCCCCAGCCCCGCTGCCGCGCCCGTCGGGTCCCGCGGAGCCGTCAGCGCTCAGCCTCCCCCAGCACAGAGGGTCCCGGTTCGGCTCGGACCAAGCTCTCTCCAAAGGTGGTGCATCTTTTGCCCTTTTTTTTTTTCTTTCTTTTTTTTCTTTTCCGGGGTGATTAACCGCCCTTTCCCCCAACCAGGGCCGCCCCCGCTGGCTTACCGCCTCGGCCGTTCCTGCAGCCGGCGACAGGGTAGGGCCGTGCTGGGCGGCCGCCGCGCTGCGTCCCCGGTCCCGGGCTCCCCAGCGTCTCGGTGTCCCGGCTCCAGCCCGGTTTTGCACGGCAAGGGAGCTCCGGCGGCAGAAAGCGGGCGGCGGAGCCGGCGCAAAGCGAAAGCTCGGTGCTGGCGGGGCTGCGGCGGGCCGGCGGGCCCCGAGCCGAGGGGGTTAAACCAGGAGCCTCCCCTTACCTTCAAAAAGTTAAAAATGTCTGGAGCCTGCATCTCTTAAAGGGGCGGTGCTGGCTGCAAGGAGTCTTGGCACCGGCTGCGAGAAAGGCTGGTCAGGGGCGTGAGTTCCCCTCCACTAGCACCAAAACATTGCAAAAAAAGGCAGAGCGCCCCACACTTTAGATAAGGACAATTAGCCACCAGCGAGCCCCTGCAGACAGCGAGTTAATTAAGGGTTTCCTGCTCTCCGGCATGCCCTGTCCCAGCTCCTGCCCCCCCGGGCTCTTAGCCCTGATGGCACCTGGGCTGGCTCTCATGGCCACCTTCTTGCTGCCCTCCCAGGCCGGGGACAGGAGGGCGCTGCCGGTGGAGAAAGCTCCAGGTGTGAAGGGAAGAACTCTCATTCTCCTTGATGTCAACACCAAGAGCCCTGTCAGGATAATCAGTGAGAATTTCCTCTCCCTGCAGCTGGACCCCTCCATCATTCATGATGGCTGGCTCGATTTCTTAAGGTAAGGCAGGAGCCCCCCGGCGCCCTCCCCACGCCGCCCGCGGGGCGCCCCGCCGCCCAGCCCCGCCGGGCTCCGCGCTGCTGGCGGCGCTTGTTGTGACGGAGGGAGCGAGGCCATGGTTTCCATTAAGATGCACATGTTTGCAATGGAGAAAGCATTTCGGAGACTTATCAGTTATGACTGCAAAAATGTCGTGCTCCCCTCGCTCCAACAACCGCTCCTCTGCAAAAAAAAAAAAAAAAAAAAAAAAAAAAAAAAAAAGCACAACACGGGGCCGAGGCAGCACAGGGATAAAAAAAAAAAAAAAAAAAAAAGGCAACCAAAACCAAACCCAGCAGCAGGAACGGGGCCGCCTGCCGAGCCGAGCCGAGCCTTCCCCAGGTCCCGACGGGCGGAGAGCGGGGTGTCGGCCAGGTCTTCGGAGCCCTCCGCTCCCCGGACTTCCAGCGGGGCGCGGGGGGCAGAGCCGGGCTGCAGCTGCGCTGGGCTCCACCGGCGGTGCGGAGCGGCCGCGGCCTGGAGGCGCTGGGACGGCCAGAAAGCCCTCTCGCTGCTGGGTAAGTCGGGGAGGGAGAGCGGGTCCCCTCCGCACCCCCGCTCCGAGGGTCCCTCCGGCTGCCGCCTCCGGAGAAGGAGCGGGGCGAGGAGGCGGGAAGGCGCGGGCGAAGCGGAGCCGGCCCGGCTCCCGCTTTCCTCCCCTCCCCGGCGGCTCGGCCCGCGGCGCGGTCCCGCGTGGGGCGCTGAGCTGAACGCCTCTGCCTCCGGGACGCCGCTGCACTTGTCCGGGGGGGCGCCCGGTGGGGTTGAGGGGGTGCGGACCGGAGATGGGGAGAGCCGGGTCCCGCCGGCCTCCGGGCCACCGCCGCCACCGCCACCACGGGCGGGGCGGCTCCCCGCTCCCGGGGCCGCGCCGCTCGGCTGGCGCAAAGCCCCGCAGCCGGTGGTACCCTCACCGCGCCGCGCCGGAGGGTCCGCAGGACCCGGGAGGGCAATGGCGGGGTCCCCGAGGCCCGTGGCCGCCGGTCGTCGCCGGTACCGGGGACAGGGAGGGCCCGGCCCGGCCCGCAGCGCCCTCAGCCCCGCTTTCTCCTCTCCCCAGCTCCCGGCGGCTGGTGACCCTGGCGCGGGGCCTGGCCCCCGCCTTCCTGCGCTTCGCGGGCAAGAGGACGGACTTTCTGCAGTTCCACAACGTGAAGAACCCGGCCAAGAGCCGCGGCGGGCCCGGCCCCGACTACTACCTCAAGAACTACGAGGACGGTGAGCGGCGGGGCCGGGGCGGGGGGGCGGGCGCGGCAGCGGGGGGCTGCGGGCACCGGGCGCTCCCGCTCCGCCTGCCCCGCGCTCCCCGCGCCCGGGCGGGGCCGCGCCGGGCACCGGGCGGTGCTGCCGCCGGGCACCGGGCAGGGCAGCCGTCCCCGTGCCCTTTTATTCCCGAGCGGGGGGAGCTCGGCGGAGCCCGCTCGCCCCGTTGCCGGTGGATCCAGCGGATGCCGGCCCCCGAGAACAAAAGGCCGGTACCGGGGAGCGGGGCTTTTCGTATCCCCCTTCGCTCCGAAGCCCCGGGCGGGCAGCGCCGGCCGCAGGGGGGCTTTGTCCCGGCTCCCGGCGGGGACCGGGCACCGCAGCCCCGGGGTGCCCGTGCTCGCACCGCGCCGCGTTTCTCCCGCGGCTCTCGGGCAGCCCTGCCTTTTCCCCGCGGACCCCGGCGCCGTTCCGCGTTTGTCCGCCCGCCGCAGCCCCGGGGCTCCCCGCTGGGCTTGGTCGCGGCTGGGCCGCTCGGTCCCCGGTGCCGGTGCCCATCCGGGGCCGCTCCCCCTCCGGACCACGCTGCCGTCGTAGGTCCTTCGGAAAGTCGCCGCCTGGCCCACGGCTGCCCGCTGCTCCCCTCGTCCCCGCCACCCTGCCCTCCTCCCCTACGCGAGAGGCTTTCACCTTTCGAGGCCCTTAATGCACACAAAGAAACTTCGTAGAAAAGTCAAGGCCAAGTCTCCATCCTCAGGCGTTTATTTAAGAAGCAGAATACCATGTCTGCATGCAAGAATTTATTGACTTTTCTCTTTTGCCTTTTTTTTTAAAAAAAAGAAAAGACCTTTTTTTGTAAGTCATTGAGTAAGGAAAAAAAAAAACAGGTCTTTTTTTTTTTCTTACTCAATGACTTACAAAAATTAGCTGAAGATATTTCCATAAGTAATTTTGAAGGCCAATTAATGCCAGACAGATCCCAGTGGGCAGGTCTGTGGAACAGAGGAAGTTTTCCAGAGATCTAGTCAGCAGCACAGTGCTGAATGGAAAAAGCAGACGCATTTGCCAGTTTTCTGATGGCTCTTGCTCCCACTGTTCCCCCACATAACATCTGATCTCACCGAAATGAATGTCCCTGTATTCTCACATGCAGGCAGGTGGGTAAGTTTGAGTGTTCCATCTTTTGCTTGGTCTCCTAGCTGGAGCAATTCCGTTGTTATTCCTTGTTTTTCTTCTCATAACAAATCTCAGGCAAAGGGTTTGTTGTAAGCTCTGCCTACTGAGATGCACTTCAGGAGAAAATGCTGACCAAACCTGCCACAGCCACCTTGAACAGAAGAAATTAAGTGTGGTGCATAAAATTGCAGATGGGACTCATACAAAACATTTGTAGGAATAAATTTTCCCACTTTCAATATTTCAACAACTTGCAGGAGAGAACTTACACTTATTAAATGTCTTCACAACAGCTTTCATGTTAAGGAAAGACTGAAAGCTTTTTTTTTTTTCTCTTCCAGTTTTCCTTGTGGCAATAAAGTTGAAATGTGGCAGCCCTTCAAAATGAAGCTTCTCATAGAAGTTGTAACCACAGGTCTTAACTTTTCATCACTTAAATGTGGAACAGAATCATTGTGAATGTGGGTGAGGGAAGGAGGGGACACATGTGGTGTGTATCAAGTATTGGTGTAAATCAGAAAGGTGTGGTAAAAGGGATTTCCTGCCTGGAAGCAAAGCTTTCGTACTTGTTCTTAAGATCTGTGTGCAAACTCCAGGGCTAGAGTTGCTAGTAGCTCGCATCTTTTTGTGCTGAGGCTGCATTGAGCGCTTCACTAGAGGGATCCAGTTCTCCAAAATGAAATCCTGATGCCACTGCAACTCTCTGCCCCGCTGTACTGGATCTGAGCAGCCATCTTTTCCTTTCGGAGCACTGGTCTGGTTTTTGTTCCCTCATCTATGGCTCACCCAGGACCTGTGTGGGATCGGGGCATGCACAGACGTGCAAGCAGATGTCCTTGCTGCAAAGAGTTTACAGCCTGAGCAGACAGTGAAAAAAAAAAAAAAAAAAAAAAAAAAATGCAATCGGCACCTGAGTGTGGGGGGAGCCAGCAGGCATCCCGCTAGGTACCCTTCCTCCTCCCCAAGTTACCTGAGGTGGTTGGGGTTGTTTTCCATGTCTGTGGGCTTTTATATGTCCAGCATCTATTTTCCAAAACTTCTTGTCTAAGCTTTAGTGGCACAGGAGTGATTAGCTAAAGTCAGAAAATAATTAAAAAATAAGTCAGTGAATTTCTAAGTCTTGTGCATCACTTTAGTGATTTTTAGTGATGTGAGGAGTGGTGGGTCAGTTATTTTCTGCTTAGAGTGTTTGTCTTTTTGCCGGTTTGCCCTGTGGGAGCACACAGACTCCACGCCCATGACCCCAAGTGCCTGAGCTCTCTTTGCAGCCTCCACAGGTCTTCCCATGCCTCATGTTCCCATGTGGACCATGCATAGTTGGGGAAGGAAGGGCACATCTTATCTTCCTCTCAGCTGCAGCAACTCAATAGGGTGCAGGACTGAGGGCTGAAGGGCACGTGTACAAGACTGTTCAGAGAACTGCAGTTACTAGTGCGTAACTCTGTGAGTGGTGTTCACATCTCAGGCAGCTGCACTCCTCTGCGTGCTCACAGGCCACCCCAGTGTGGCCACCTCGGGCATTCAGACACTCAGCAGCAGCAGTAACAGGACTGCTTTGCAGAATCCTTCATGGATCCTCTGCCCTGTGACCATGCTTGCTGGAGTTTGAATAAAGCTCTGTGCAGGGATCTTTGTGCTGTAAATCCCACCCTGCCACACTATTTCCCTCCACACCAGGTATTCCTCATTGCTGCCTTTGATGTTTTTTTCTATCTCTGTAGAGCTCCACCTTCCTGACAATCAGACCTCCTCAGAGATATTTGCCTTATTCTTTACCCTCCGTTTAAAATTATATTTATTTTCCTTGCAAACTGTTACAGCCCTGCATGCCTCCACTTTCTGAAAATTGCCCTTATCTAGACCTACCTTTGGGTTTATCTGCCCATCTTTTTCCTCTCCTTTCCTCCACAGAGAGCATGGGTGTTCTCTGAGGGTTATAGTAGTTGCTTTTGACTTGTATATAAGATGAAATAAGGTGTTTCCTTTAGGCTTTGGGTCATTCTTTTCTTGTACAAATTCTTCCTGGAAGCACAGACCTGGAAGTATTGTGTAATACCAGGTGTGTACAGCGTCTTTCCTTTGTAACTCCGAACAGCCTCACCCCAGTCCAGACCAGTCATGTTTGGGCAGCAAAGGTAGAAACGTGGTGAGTGATATGTGGTGGCAGCCTGTGATGCCCATGAAGAGGGTGCATGTGGCAACTTGTTTCAGCACTGCTTATAAAGCTGGCACGGCAGTTTCATCACCTGGTGGCAGATTTGTCTGTACCTGACAGAGGAACTTGTAAAAGCAATTGCCTAGGATGAATGGTTCAGGTGAGCCGTGGGGTGTGCAGTCCCTATTGATGGTAGCATGGCTATATGTACCCTCGGAACTGTGCTAAATAGTAGAATGTCATCTAACTAATCTGTTACATTAACACCCCCGGCTGTAGTGTACGTCAGGTGGCTGCCATCCCGTGCAGCCCCTGCTTTGCATGGTCAGACCCAGAGTTCACCCTGTTTGGATGTGGCATTGTCCAGCCTCAGGTCTGTTAGAAACAGAAAACCAGTTTAATGTATGTCAAGCTCTGTGGTACCAGGAGGTGGGGCTGTGCCAGAGACTTTTTGACATTTGGTGATCAAGGGGTGTAACATTTTTAGCCTGAGAGACTTTTCTCTCCCTTAAATGGTGTTTCTCTGTATGTGCCCTGCTGAGTTTGTTTTTCTTCACCAGCTGTGCTGAGAGTTGTGCTTTGTTATCTGGAGATGTGTTCCTCTTCAGCCATAGGCACATGTCTGATCCCTGGGCAGGTAGCAAGGTGTAAGGTCTCATGCTCAGTTTATGTAGTAGACCTGCTTCTCCTTTTGCTGTTGGATTGTCTACTAAGCAATCTGTTTGGCCTGTCCTTTCAACTGCCTCACACATGCCAAGGACTAGTTGGGTCTGAGGAAAGGGACAATAAGAAACATTGGTCTGTCTCCAGGAAAACTGACTTGAGCAGCTCCTTTTTGGAGTAAATGCACAGAGCTATCCACTTGCTCAGGCTGTAGTTGCTGGTACAAAACCTCTTCTGAAGTTGGGTTTGCTAAAACCTGACTTGCATGCTGTCCCAGAGCTTGGTGTTAGAGTGTTATGTGTGGCATGGAGGCCTGGTGTTGGTGTAGCAAGGGGTGCTGAGGGTGCTGTCTCAGAGCCTGAACCTAGAGCCCATTTTGGAAACTTCCTGCTGGTGCTACAGCATGAGTTTGGTGGGCTAAGGTGGAATCTCTTCATCTGCAGGGTGGTCCTCAACTGCCTCTCACCTCAAAGGCACGCTGTCCAGGTTTGGACATCCTGTGGTGTCATAAATATTGCTTAGAGTTTCCCCCTATGCGTACGTGCTGTGAAGGAAAGCTCAAGGATATAAGAGAAGTTACTCATAGTTGGAGTTCTTCAAGATGTGTTGGCCGAAGCACGTGGCTTCTTCATTGTGTCCCTCAGGCTGTGTGTAGACTATTGGGATTGTGTGGCTGAGAAGAGACCAAAGGACGTTTAGCACACACAGCCAGTGTGGCCCTGTGTGGGTCATGGGAGGGAGAGGGGAAGGGGAGCACATATGCATGCTGTCAGTAGTGCGTCAGAAAAGCTGCTGAGCTGAAGTGCATATGGACAACACATTTCAAAAACACTCTCTTAATTGCTGGTAAGTTACTTCCTTCTATTTTGTCTCCTTTTTTGGAGAGGATACTGGGCATCTGGAGAAATGGCCAATTACCACAAAAAACTGGAAAAAGGCATGTTTCTTATGGCTTCCATACTAGTCAGGAGATTTTGCTGTAAAGTGTGGGAAACTTAATATTATGCTGTGTAATCCTGGT